GATCGATCAAAGAAGGGGGGTCCCTCAATTTGCGCTGCCCTCCAAGAGGCCAAAATGGGACCAACACCTGAGTAAAACCAATGATTTTGGTTTCCTCGCCGAGGCCGTTTTGGACGCTTCAGCGACCCGCGAAACGCCCCGTCCCAGGTCCAGGGGAGGGGGTCGGCAGGGGAGGGTCAAGACTCCTACAAGGAGCAAGCCGTGTAGTTCACTCCCACCCGCCCTCCCAACACAGAAGTAACGCTTGGCCAAAGGACCAAAGGTTTGAACCCCCGAAGAGGCTCTTGTCAAATACCAATGCAAAGGTCCCGACGGGACTATCGTAGTCCCGCCAGGTACGGTTCGAGTGCGACAGGACAGGCGGGCGCGCCCGCGGACGGCGGCCGCATGTGGACGGCGGCTGGGACGAGCAACCAGGCGGGGCGCCGACTGGCGGGGCGGGCGGGCCTCGGAGCCTGCGGCGCTTCCCGGGCGCCACGCGGCGACGACGACGACGGCGACGGCGCCGGCGACGGCGACGGCGACGGGACCATCCTTGACGACCACCCGCGGCCAGAAGGCAGGTGGGATCTGTTGGTCCCCCAGCCGCGGGGCGGCCGGCCAGAAGGCAGGTGGGATATCAATGCAAAGTGGTCGCGGGGCGGCCGGGCATGCTCTAAATGTGGTAGCAATATGTGTTTTGCAAGGTTTTCTGACAGGGGTGGCGGGGGGGTGGCATTGTTCCGGGTTGGCCGCCGGCCGGGTGGGGGGGGGCCCGGGTTTTTATTAATAGGGAGCAGTGATAACCCTTCCCCGAAGGGGAAGAGGTGGGTGGAAGAGGAAACATCCTAAACCACTTACGCCCTGAAGAGCTGGTGGGATTCGCTTGCCGGGCACAGCAAAAAATGCTCGACGCAACTAAAACGAAGGACCCCCTTCTCAGGCAACCCCCTGGCCGGTCCGAGCCGCGCCCGACCGCCCAGTCCCCCGACAATATTCGAAAACCCTCCTGCTCCGCTTCTGCAGCCATGCCGGCCTCCCCTTCCAACAATCCGCTTCTTTCCCCACCGCCCCCCGCACTCGAAAAACAAAAACGCCATAAACATAAACTGTTGGCACTCCGCGCTGACTGAGTTTTTGGATCCGCGCCAGGCTCCCCCGGCGGCGCTTCCGGCGCCGCCCCTGGCGCGCTCCGCGCGCCATGGAGGGGGGTCCAGCGCAGATCCAAGAAATCCGCGCGAAGCGCCAAACATTTATGTTTCTGGCGTTTTTCCTTTTACACATCCTTCATCTCCACCTCCCATTCTTCCTTCATCCCCACCTGTCCTTCCTCCTCCATGACCACCGCTTCTGATGATCGGGTGAGCGGCCACGGCCGCTCCGCGCAGGCCGCCAGTGTGCCCGTCCCCTCCCAAGGTCGAATTCGCGCGTTCGGTCGCTGATTTCCTACATGGTGCCATGCCACCGCCCCTATTCATCCGCCCCCCCCCTTTCCCCTCCCCCCCTTCTCGCCCCCCCCCCTTTGCCCATACGTCCTCCTTCCCCTGACCTCTCCCCGCCCCCCCCCCCGGCTCGCGCGGGGGCCGGCCCGAGACTGGTCCAAGAGGACGACTCCCCTCGGGCCGGGGCGCGGTGTCCGAGGCGCCCCACAACAAGAGGGGGCCGCACGCGCGCGCGCGCGCTCACTTTTCCGCTGGACGCGGCCACAGGTCAGGAACGAAAGAGGGACGCACACTCGGGCCGGGTGAAAGGGGGGGATTGGGAAAAGGGGGGGGGACGAAATCTGCTGCATGCAGCTGGTTTCGGCCCCGCCGGGGGGCACACTCCTCGATACATAGCCGCCTGCGGCGCCGGGAGGCGCTGGGAAAATCAGCTGCGCGAGCTGCTGATACTCAAACCCCCCCTTTGCTATCCCCCCCTTCCCCGACACACGCACATGAATCCACGCTGGTTTGGAGAGTGCGCATTGCCCGAATGTTCGCATCGCGCGGCCAGTCTCACGGATCGAGGGGCCGCGTTCATGTACATGGCTGGGCGCGTACTTCCTTCGTGGGCTCCCTAACACGGGACAGGAGGGAGGGGGAGGGGGAGGGGGAGGAGGGGGAGGAGGGGGAGGAGGAGGAGGAGGAGGAGGAGGAGGAGGAGGAGGAGGAGGAGGAGCATTGGTCGGGAGGATTGGAGAGTGGTGCGGAGAGAGCGGTGAAGCGAAGGCCGGCAGCCGCTCCTGCCCATTTGGCTTGGGCTCGCCGGGAGCGCCGCCGCGGACGTGGTGCCTTCGAGAGGAACGTCGCCTGCCCAGCAGCGGCCGCTGTCGGTGTTTCTCAGCATGTGGTGCTGTGCTTCGGTTTCGTTTTGGTTCCGTCCCCGTTTCGGGCGTACCACGTTGGCGGAAGAAGGGGGGGAGAACGGGGGGAGGGGGAGGAGCAGGAGGAGGAGGAGGAGCAGGAGGAGGAATGCTCCACCTGATCCAGGTCAGGTGGGAGTGAATGAAGATGAACGGCCAGCCTGGCGGACACCACCCGGATGGCTGCCGTCTAGCGGATCTGCCCTGCTGCCTCGTGGGCCCACGGAGTCTTCGCAGGAATCGAGAGCACAGAGGAGCGGGGCGAGGGGGTCGGGCGTTACGCAGTAGGGGCGCGATACATTAGAGGGGGAGCGAAGAAAGGTGCTCCTTTCGTCCCTACAGAGGTGTCCTGAAACGGGCCCCTTGGGGCCGGAAAGGGGCAGGAAAGGTGCATGTTTCTCCCGTCGTCGTCGTCGTCGTCGTCGTCGTCGTCGTCGTCGTCGTCGTCTTCGTCGTCGTCGTCGTTCCGGCCGCGCCGCACCCACAGAGGAGGGAGGCGGGTGGTGCCGCTCGGCAGGGCGCGGCGAGGAGCGAGGTGACATCCGGTGCGGTCAGGCAGCCTCCCATCGGGAGCCCTGAGACGGGGGTCAATGCAAACGGTGGTCAGCCAGAGCGCCCGATCTTGCAGGATCCTGCAGGGCCAGGGTCGCATTGACCCAGGCTTGGGCGCAGGATCCTGCAGGATCTTACAGGATCCTTTGCGTTGACCCGGGTTTGGGCGCAGGGCCAGGGTCGAATTGACCCGGGTTTGAGTGCAGGGTCCTGCAGGATATTGCAGGATCCTTCGCATTGACCCAGGCTTGGGCGCAGGACCTTGCAGGATCTTGCAGGATTCTGCAAGCTTCGTGGCATGGTTTGTGTGGAATGTGGCGCTTTGTGTACGTCACAGTCGATCAAGCTATCGCGCGAATGCTCCCTAGCAAGTGAGTTGGGCAGGCGAGCGCTGGCGGCGTTTCAAAGGTGAATGGTTTTGTGTCGAGACCGTTGGCTTGTTGAGCTGAAGCAGTACCAACAACATGGGGGTACAGTCCCCGCCTTGATGTGGGATCCGTCGCCCTCTTCGGCTGTCGGTGTGACTAGAACGAGCGCAGGAGATACAGCCATTGCGACATGAGTTTCTGTCATCACAGCCAGCGGGGTTTCCAGAACGAGTCCACAGCCAGCGCCGGCTTGAGTACCGTGATGTCAAGTAGCAGGACGTGATCACGGCCTGACTTTCGAACACGGCGAATTGCACCATCGTAAAATCAACGATTGTGAGCACAACCAGCCAGGGTTCCAGCGCGACGGTGTTGGCAACTTGTCTGATTCCGTTAAATTTGGCAAGTTCCAGAGCCATCAGGGCTTCGACCACTCGAGACCCATTCGCCGTAAGGCGGCGGGAGCGTCGATTTCATCGTGCCTTCAACTGTTGGAGAATCATCTTCCCATAACCACCCACAGTTCCAGCATGATCCTGTCCGCCACCAGTGCGAGCGTACACATTGCTCAGCCATTGTGTGCACAACGAGAATTCCAACACGACGATGGCTTCAACCCGTGGCAGTTCAATCTCCCCGACTCCAAGTTGCGAGTCGTGACCTCGCGGATGCCAGCGCCCTGCATGCGTTCCCCCCGCTTCACCACGCAGTCCGTGCAGGTGTCGCGCATCACCCCAGGGGTGATCTCGTTTCCCAGAACACTGATGTTGGTGTACGCTGTCGCTCTGCAGTGGCCCGTGCCTGGCGTGGGCATCGTGCCTCGCTGCGCTCAGGAGGCGCTTTTCCTCTCGCAGTATAATTGGTCCCACATAGTCGTGCCTTGAGTTTCGGCCGATCGCTGCGCAAAGCTATCGAGCCATCAATCGGCGCCCGTCAATATCATGCATGTTTTTCTCATCGCTTCAAGTAGCCGCCTCTGGTTGCCCTTCAGGAGCCGTTGCTTGCCATTCTTGTTGGACCTGCGCAGGGCCTTGGTTCATCTTAGGTGCGGAAGGCCGCAGGGGAGGACTGTCGTTACTGCACCTGCAGATGCGTGTCGTAAGATTTCTTCCGCGGAGTTCTTCGGCCACTCCTGAATCGTCGGAGGCTGGCTAACATATCTTTGCGCGTAGCCGCGTGGATGGGCACTGGCCCGAATTGTTCGACCCCGCACGATCATCTCGTGCTTTTGCCACTGCCGCTGCTGCTACCACTGCGTCTGGCTCTCCTGATCCAGGTCGAGCTCCTCTCCCTGCCCCTGCTCTGTTTCCTTCCTCTGCGCATGCCCCGTCGCCACTTCGGCGCAACGTGGAGAGGTTTACAGTGAACCACGTGGATACCGCTGTTCCGCGGCGAGCCTTCGCTTTCTTGAGAGGCAGTCCGCCCTGTCCCCTCACCGTGGGCAGTCCGCCCTGTCCACGGATTCTAGGCCTTGGTGGTGTAGCTGCGCGCTGCCAGCTCGAGCCGCCCCATTTCTTGCGATCGTCTCTCATCCGCAGCCATGGGGACCACACGGTGGCAGTGGGGGCTCTGGCAGGCTGGAGGTATAGGCTTAGGGCAGATGCGATCTCCGTTTGCCGTCGCCCCGCAGTGCGCCTCCAACCCGTTCGCCCCGCTCATGACAGGACTTTTTTTATTTCCAGGAGAAGGTGGTTCTCGTCGGCCTGGGCCCTTGCCAAGCGCGGGACAGCGATCATGTTCTGCATGCCCGTGTGCAAGGAACGACCCATCCTGTAACGTTTGCAAGCACTGCGGCAGTTCGAGGAGCTGCCCTAACCAATGTTCGACACGAAGACGCTGCAGCTCTGCGTTTTGGAAGCAGCCCCCCCCCATCTGTCGCTTGGACGGCCGGGAAAGGTCATGGTAATCATGCCAGTTTTGCTCGTTCGAATGGCAGCCCCCTTTCAAGGCGCTGCCGGCGCAAGCACACGCGGCGGCCTCTCCGCCGACGACCTCGAGGAGTTGGACGGGGCCCTCGCCGAGCTCACGGGCAGCAGTGGCGCCTCAGAGTATGATGAGGAAAACTGCGACGTCGGAAGCAGCGCGCAACCATGGAGTACCCAGCCCAGCAACACATTCCCAAGTCTTTCCACTGGCATCGCTCGGACGTGTGCGTTTTTTCCTCGGCGAGGACCATCGAGGAGCATCCTTGACCATTTGCCGAAAAAACCACGCACGACACCGAACAAAAACCCAGGGAATGGACGTCCGAGCGATGGCGAGTCCATCGGTTTCGCGCGGCGGAGGGGCGGCCCAGCCGCGCAGCGCAGCATTTCGAAACAGCGGAGGCAGCCCTCGAGAAGCAGAGCGCCGAAGCCCAGAGGCTCGGCCAGGAGCTCGGAGAAGGCGATGATCGGCACAGGCCGCTCGCCCGGCAGCTGCGCGCTACCGTCGCATCACCATGCCCCGCCGCCCCCGTCGGGCTCTCCATCCGCGGCATCTTGGACGGCGCGCTGGAAGACTTCCCCATCGGACCAACTGGGAGACCAGTTACTACTCGGCGATCTCGAGGGCGCGGAGATTCGCGTCGCGCAGAGAACGAGGCCACAGCAAGGGCCCTCGTTCCTCTCTCTCTCTCTCTCTGTCCTTTTCCGTCTCTCATTATATCACTCTCCTTTTGTTGTTCCTCTCTCTCTCTATTTCCCTTTATTTCTCTCTCTCTCTCTCTCTTTCTCTTTTCTCCTTTTCTCTCTCTCTCTCTCTATCGCTATCTGTCTCACCCTCGCGCGCTCTATCACGATTTCTTCCTCGATATTGGTACAGCTCTCTGTCTCTCCTCTTGCTTCTCCCCTCTTGTCTTTTTTAATGGTATCTCTCCCTCATCGTTATCTCTGTGCCTCTCTTGTTGTTGTTGGTGTCTCTCTCTCTGTCTCTATGTTCTCTCTCTCTGTCTCTCTCGCTCCCTCTCTCTCTCTCTCTCTCTCTCTCTCTCTCTCTCTCTCTCTCTCTCTATATATATATATATCCCTCTCGTGTTTTTGTGTTTCTCTCTCTCTCTCTCTTTCTCTTTCCCCCTTCTCTCTCTCTCTCTATCTCTCTCCCTCTCTCCCCCTCTCTCTCTATATGTTTCCCGTTCTTGCTCTCTCTGTCTCTCTCTTTCTCTCTGTCTCTGTTTTTTTTTTCTCTCTCTCTCTCTCTCTCTCCCTCTCTCTCTACAGATGTAGATATAGATGTATGTATCACTTGTTGTTTCCCTCTCTCTCTCTCCCTCTCTCTCTCTACCTGGATATATATATATATATATATGTATATATGTATATGTCAAACTATCGCTCTCTCTCTCTCTCTTTCTCTCTTCTCCCTCTTCCTCTTCCCCTCTCTCTCCCTCTATTTCTCTCTCTTTCTCTCTGTCTCTCTCTCTCTCTATCCCTCTCTCTCCCCGTCTCTCTCTCTCTCTCTCTCTTTCTCTCTGTCTCTCTGTCCATCTCTCTCTCTCTCTCTCTCTGTCTCTCTCCCTATCTCTCTCTCTCTCTTTCTCTCTCTCTTTTGTTATATCTCTCTCTCTCTCTTTCTCTCTCCTTCTCTCTCTTTACCTCTCGCTCTCTCTCTCTCTCTCTCTCTCTTTTATTCAGTCTTGCACTTATGTTTTGCAGTGTTCCCTCTCTCTCTCTATATATATATGTGTCCCTTTATGTTTTCTCGTGTTTGTTTGTTTTCTCTCTCTCTCTTTGTTTCTCTCTCTCTCTCTCTCTCTCTCTTTTTCTCTCTCTCTCTCTCTCTTTCTCTCTCTCTCTCTCTTTCTTTCTTTCTCTCTATTTATGTATGGATTGTTCTCTCTGCCGACTTGTATATATATATATATATACAAATATGCATATTTATATGTGTATGTATCATGTGTTGTCTCTCTCTCTCTCTCTTTCTCCTCTCTCTCTCTCTCTGTGTCTGTTCAGGGGCAGTCTTAAATGGCAGACAAAGGCCGCCGTTTCGGCGACCGCCCAGAGGGCAGGCGTCATCAAAGCAGACGATGAGGAATCACTTGCTTGTTTGGCCGGGGAAGTGCACCGCGCTGACAGCGGCGCCGTCGCGAGGGGAGGCGCAGGACAGGGCGGCTCGGGGCCTGGGGCAGGGCCGCCCCTTGAGCCCCCAGCCTCATGCCCCGACGGCCCTGCAGCTCCCGCATCAGTTTCGGGGGCATCCGCGCTCGCAGAACCGGAGCCCAGCGCCCCACCCGGCCAGGCCCAACGAGAGCCAGCAGCAGCGATGGGAGCTCGATCGGCGGTTCCACCGCGGCAGATTTCACTCCCAGCCCAAGTCCCTGAGGACACTTCGGGGAACCATCGGGGGGGGGCCAGGGGGCGCCGGCCCGCGTTGGGCCCGCGCGTTGCCCCCCTTGGCTTACGAGGCCGCAGGAAGGCCTCTAGCATCAAACGCGATGCCTTCATTCATGCTCGGCCCAAGGCGGGGGACGCCCCCGCGAAGGTCTGCGCGCCCCGCGTCGCCAGTTGGGGCTCGACTGGGAAGTGGCTCGCGAAGCAGTCTCGAGCTCGAGCCATTTGCCATCATAAACACAGCCCCAGGCCTCGGGGAGACCTGGGCCAGGCCATTGGGCGGGCCATCATACGGCGCGGGTGGAAAATCATTGGGGCACCATCTGCAGGAAGGATGGCCGCGGGGCGCGAGGAGGGGTCGCCACTCTTGCTCGTAGCTTCCGCGGGCTGCACTGTTCCGGGCCACGCGTGCTCTGGAGGTCGAGGTGGGATCGTCTGGATCCCGCGAGGCGTCAGCATTGCCGTCGCCAGCGTCGACTTACAGGGCGGTCGAGGCCGCGAGCGAGACCAGGTTCGCTCTCTTTCCGGCGCGGGGGGATTTTGCCCACCCGGTTTGCCGCGGGCGCCGGGGGGCGACGCCAGCGCGGAGGCCATTTTCTCTCCGGTTTCGCACGTCATTCAACGGGGCAAGAGCGCGCCCGTCATCCCCGACGTCGCGGGGGCCCGCGCCGCCGCGGGAGGCCCACGCCTCGGCGATTTTCCGCCCGCAGCCAAGGCCTCAGCCCGGGCATGACATCGGTGGCCGTCGACGGGGCCTCCGATCTGACGCTTCGCTCCCCAGCGGAGCCCCCGCCCCACCCTCGCCCCGCCCCCCCGCGCGCCATAGCTCTCCAGAAGCGGCCCGCGACCCCCCGAGCGATGGATCGGCTCTGCTAAGGAACCGCGCTAGCACGCCGAGGCGCGGCGGCAGCTGGGGGCCGCTCTCGCCGCCGCCCGCGAGGGCATGGGAGCTGACGCCCACCGGCGCCCTGAGTGAGTTCGCGGATCTCGGGCAAACGCGGCCGGGGCCGACCCTGGCAACGCGGGCGCCGAGGCCACGGGGCCAAATTAATGTGTAAGCCCATTATCGATGCGGACTCGAGGGCCCCAGACTCTTCCAGACGCACGCGCGCTGGCCACAGCCCGATGAGTTCCAGATGCGCCCCCGCGTAATTCCCGCGGGTAACGCGGGCGGAGACCAATGAGCGAGCGCCGCCACGTTCGCCGCGCCCGCCGCGGCCGCGCCCGGCGGAGGCGACCCCGAGAGCACATTGAGGCAAGTTGCCTGGCGCGCGCGCTGGAGTTTCCAGGTGCTCCGAGGGCGGGGCCTTCAGCGCGCCGCGGGGGCGTCGCGGCGCCCTCGCCCTACTTCAACGCGGAGTTGAGAGAGCCGGCGCGCCTGCCAGGACTGCCAGCCGCGCGAGCTGGAATGAGTGGAGCAAGACGGCCATCGAGAAGGGCGCTGAACAGGATTCACGCGATCACCTCGGCCCCGGGGCCCTGGTGCGCGATGACCGCCGTCGCCGACGGCGGCTCCGTTGCGAGCGCCCCCTTCGCCATCCTCCAGTCGGAGATCCCCCCGCGGACTTCGCGCCCGCCCCCGAGTTCGACGCGCCGCTACTGGGGGGAACCAGGGGGCTCTGCAGACCGCGCGAAGCATTCGCATTGGTTTAGCGCGTAATCGTTGGAATGCAAGCCCGGGGTTTTGAGCGCGCGGAATCAGCAGCACCCTCCCACATCGGCCCCGCGTCAGCACGCCCCCCCCGCCCCCCGAGCCCATCGGGGGATTCCGACCGATCGGCGTCGTTGCTGGGCCGGGCCGCGCCGTTCGGGCTGCCCCGTCGCCGCCAAATGGATGGAGTTTGATTCTTCCTTGCCCCTGCTTGGAAAAGACGCAGGAGACGCAGGCGCCGCGCGGCGGCGCGCCGCCCAGCTGGAGAGCGGCGTCGCTGCCAGACGGCGGGCACGCGCGCACCCTTGGGAAGTCCGCAAGTATTACCAGAGTTGGTGCACTGCCCTGTTCGAGGCCAGATATTCCATACATATATATATATATACCAATGAAAGGAGGAGAAAAATCAATATAAAAACAAAAAAAAAAAAACAAACAAAACGGCTGCCATGTTGGAGTTGCGAGGCTCGCTTGCGACGCGTATAGGGCCCTTGGGGCCGTCTCTCTCCACGATTAAATGTCGCCCGTCCGTCGCGCCCGCTCGGGCGCAGACGCGGGGCGCCCTTCCGCCGAGACGGTGATCTGGACACTCCTTGGATGGCCTCGCCGGCATATCCTGGGCCCCATTATTGCCCGCGCTGCAGTCCGTGCATCGACGATGGCGGCCTCCGCGCCGCGGGGAATTACAAGTCTGCCACGGGGGGCGTCGTTGGAGGGGGCAGACAGCTTTTTCGCGCGATCTCTGCAGACAGGAGCCACGCTCGCGGGGGGCAAAACAGCCCCGCTGTGCTCCGACAGGAACCTCGAGCTCGACATTTAGGCGGATCTCAGGGCGTCGCCGACTGCCCACCCCCCCCCGCGCTCTCACCGCCAACGCGGGCGTCGACGACTCTGCGGGGCGACCCGTCCGTCGCCGAGGATGGAGTTCTAAAGCCGAGCAGAGAAAGGGAAAGGCGTCGGCGAGAACCGAGAGATCGGGTGAACTCAGGAGACGGTTGGCCGCTGGGCCAGAAACGTTCGGGCGGCTGGCCCCCTTCCCTCGGCCGCTCATGGGGCCGAAGAGCACGGGGCTTCGGACGGCGAGTTGCTTGCCCTCCGGCGGTCTGTTGCTTGTGTTCTTCAGCCGTTTGCTTGGGGCCGTCTTCTTTCGATCTTTCTCGCGGATCCGATTCGATTTAGATTTCGCCTCGGGCCTCCCTGCTTCCGCGCGGCATCCGACGTGGATTGCGCGGGCGGCCCTAGTCACGCGTTGGCATCAGGAGCGCGCGCGCTTGCGCGCATGCTCATCACCCCAGTCTCACTTTCCCATCCTGCGCACGGCGTGGGAATATGTCTGGCAGGCCCCTCTCAAAACCTGGCGCGAGGTTTCGGGCTCCGTTCCCGCGTTGCGCAAGAGCCTCCTCGGGCGTGGATGGGGCGCGGTCAATGCCGCCACCATGACTCCGGATCACGGCGACGCGGCTTCCTCTGTCCACCGCGCCCCGGTCTGCTTCAGGCCCCCCTCAGGGATGCTGCGCTACGTCGCCTCGAAGAGGACATCGGCGTGAACCGATGTCTGCGACGCGCGCGCTGCGACTGCGCGGCCAAGCTTTCGGGGCCCAGCAAGTGCGTGACCCTCGGGAAGGGCGCGCTCCGCGCTGCAGCCTGCGGCGCGATTTGGACTCGACAGCGCGGGGGAGGAATGGGGCACGACTACCCGCCAGACTGCCCCACGGGCCGCGGAAGCGCTGACATTCTTGCCCACCGCATGTGGAGATGCCCGCGCCTGCAAGAAGAGAGGGCCGCATTTGTGGACCCAGGGGTCCACGAAGGCGTCGACAGTTTGGGGTGGGCCGAAACTTCCTCAGCGTTTTTCCCTATCCCGGAGATGCCCCCCCCCCCCGCCCTCCCCCCATTGGCCGAAGGTGCTTGGCGGTTCGCGCGGGGAGAGGAGGTTCCGCCAGATGTCATGGCTACGGGCGGAAGCATTTCCATCGACGGCAGCTGCGCCGGCCGCCCGACTCGCGAGCTAACGCGGGCAGGATGGAGCTGCGTTGCGTTTCGAGGCAGCACCCTTGTTCGTGAAACGCAGAGCCTTGTCTGGCCCCCCCTTCCCCAGCCGCCCCAGGGCGTCGCACTCTGCGCGCGGACGGGCGTCGTCATGCGTCTCGCCGGCCCCAGCGAATGCCATTCCGGTTCCCGAGGCGTTGTCGAGCAATCTGTTGCCCATTGGACATGGCAGCGAATTGCGGCGGCCAGTCCCGAAGTCACATATTCCAGGCCCAGGGCGAAAAAGACGCAAGTCCCGAACCAGCCCCACTAAGATCAAGGCCCTTGAACGAGGAGGAGCTGCGCGGATCCGAATTTCAGGCGCCCAGCCAATTACCTTGCCGACATCGCTGTGACAGTTGCGGTGGTCTTGCGCCCTGAGACGGCTGAGGAGGTTCATGGGATCGCCGACTTGAACATCAGTCGCGCCGGTGCTGTGCATTTCGGCGATGAGGTTGCTGAGGCGTTTCCCCTCTTTGAAGGGCGTCGGATAAGTCGCCTTCAACCCCGCGCCATCAAGCGCACTAGAGTCAGGAGACACTGCAAGTTTCAGTTGGCCGTTCGAGGAGGGAGACGCACATGGCGCTGCAAGCTGAGCAGAGACCCCGCGCATCCTGAGATAGCTCCAGTCCGAGGCTGCAGCGGACAGCCCAGGGATATCGACGTCTGCAAAGTTGCGAATCTCGGGCATTGCAGTGCTGCTCTTGCGCGCAACGACGGCAGCACTTTGTTCGCGCGCCTTCACTGGGCGTCTTTTGTCTCGGCGGGCACCCCCCCCAGCCCCCCAGGAGTGATCTGCGCGACCAGCGCTGCACGAGGGCGATGCCGCCGCGTCAGAATGCAAGATGGAACAGAAATCCAATGCGAGCAGCCTGACCCCAGGAATACTGACGTGCGATTGTGCTTGCCTAGACGGCATATCCAGAGCTGGCAGCTCCGAGCCCGTGCCCTTCGCGCCTGCCGGAGCACCCGCACCGCCCCCAGCTTCTGAGGATGACCTTCGAGTCCTAGCCGCGCGGGGGAGATGCCGCCCCTCGGAGAGGAGGCACGTCGGCCCGTCCTCGCCGCCCTCGAGATGGGCTGGTCCTGTCTGTAGAAGGTGGGAGAGGCATTGTACCTGCGGTGAGCCTACGGGGGATGCCACCCGCCATCTCGAATGCCCTCGAGGAAGCAGCCCGCCCTTAGGATCCCTGGATGCCCTTGGGGAGTATTGCTGAGTCCTTCCGCGCTGATGAGGGCGAGCGTCCCCTGGCGGCGCCTCCTCGTCAAGAAGAAGAAAACGATTCTGACGAAGCTTTTGCTTTGAGGGTAGGTCCCGCTCAGCCTTCGGTTTGGCTGGACCTCGTTTTTTTCCGCTGCCCCTTTTCATGTTGTTTCTCTTGCTGCGCGTGGTTTGGTCCACGGGTCGTGCCGCACAGACTGCTGACTGGTGGACTGGTCACGCAGGTTTTCTTTTCTAGCTGTAGCCGAGGAAGCCACGATACAGGCTGCGCTTCCTTTCCCAAGACATCGGGCTGCGCCCATGCCAATTCATTTGTTTTGCCACGCCCTTTTCAAGCGTTGCGGGCAGGAATGAGCCACGTGCCCACCTGCAGTGTTTGGTTTCCGGGTCTGCCCTGCAGACCTAGCCGCATTGCGCGGTTGCTGCAGAGAGTTACAGGTCGCCCTGCAGCTGCACGAAGTCTCAGACCCTCGCTGGAACCTGACTCTGCTCTGACGAGGCTCTGTCTCTTCGCCTTTCTTACACTGCAACTAGAGACCTTCGGGCATGCCCATGCTCCTGTTCCTGCCTTCGCTGCTGCTGGTCCTCGCCCGCGACCTCGTCCCTGTCGTGTCCCTCGTCGTCCCCGTCCTCTCCAGCTCGCTGCCTCGACTCAGCGACCCCTGCCGCGCAGCCAGAGTGCGAGAGGCACTTTCGTCACCAAGAAAGTCACGCACGACGTGGCGATGATCACAGCAGGCAAGAAGCAGAAGCTCATTTTGGGAAACATCGACTCTCTGCGAGATTGGGGGCACGCCAGGGACTACGTGAAAGGCGCCGCGGCGCTGCCGCCTCCGCTACCGCGGCAGCCTCCGTGCAGGATGGGGCGTGGACGGGAAGAGTGTTGCACACCGCAGTTGTCGCCCGCGCCTCCGACGCCCCCTCCTCCTCACCCTCCTTCCCCTGCCCGGCGCCCCCGTCCATCTCTCCCCCGCCCTCTTCCGCATGGTTTTCCCTGCAATTTTCGAGGAGCGGCCAAGAGGGGGTGATCTTAGAGAGGGGGGGCATCATGGCTGATGCCATGCTATCTCCCCAGATTTCATGGCCCCCCGTCTTTGTTTCAATACGTGCTTGGCCCCCCCCCTCACCCCCCCTGAACCGCACACGTGCCTCGGGCCATGATTCGCGAACCCCCCTCTTGGACGCGCCCCTCTTTGACGCCCCCAAGCGTTTTTCCAGGGCAGGGAAGCTCTCCTTGTGGTGAGGCGCTCTTCCCCCCAGGCCGAGCTCCTGCTCCCCGACGGGGTGAGCCGGAGGCCTCCCCAGAGGCTGTCTCTGCAGATTGCGCGAATACACCACCGATCGCTCCTCGGTGTCCTCCTCGATTGGGTCGCGAGTGCTAGGAACCCCCTCCTTGGCGCGCGGCGGAAGTCAAACCCAGCTCCTGACCCCCTTTTGGGGAGAGCGGGAGAGTGGCGTTCGGTCCAGGCCTCGCACTCTGCTGGGCAGCGAGGGCGCGCGTGAGAGCCAGCTGAGGACGAGAGCGAAGGGTGAGGGTCAGGACGGGCCGCTCCCTTCTCCCTTCTCCCTTCACCCGCCCCGCTTCTCTAGCCTTCCTGCCGCTGTTTCTGTCGGCTGCTTCGCCCGTCGGTGAGCCGAGGCCCCTGGTCTTACTTCTCCGCTGGTCTTGGATTGATCCAGAATGCGACTCGCTCAGCCACAGGCGCCAGGCGGTTTGGGTCCATATGGAGCCGTTGCGACTCGGAGCGCATGTGCCCCTTTCCGCAGGCATGTGGATGTTCCTGCAGCAGGAGAAGGCCGTCGACTACGTGCTGGCGACAGGACGGCACTCGGGCAATGTGGGCGCTGTGCTTCCTCTCATGGTGCAATCGAAGGGAGCTTAGACGCGTGATGATGGCGCCCCACCTCATTATCTCTTCTCCTACTCATCCTCCTTCTTCTCATTCTACTTCCCTCCGGGTTAGGAGGCATCCTGACTGTCTCCGTGCATCGGTGGCAAAGAGGTGAGGGAGGGGGAGGATTTGGATAGCTCGGAGCGCAACACGCACTTTGGGGCCCGAGTGCGTCAACGAGCGCGTGATCTCTCGCGTCTTGGGGGTTCATTCCGGACCTGTAGGTGGGATCTCGGGCTGATGGGTCCCGATGGCCCCCGGCGCGACTCACGACAATGAATGACCCTCCAGAGATGTGAACGGGCGACAATTATTCGCCAGTTGAGCGTCTCAGTCCATGCCACAGCAAGGTTCAGTTTGCTGGTTCCAGACCGCCATCGGTTGCGAATGGTCCTGCTCCGCATGCGCGTTGCCGTAAAGGCTCAACTGGAACGTGCCAGCGCGAGAAGCGCTTCTGGCATATCCCGATGTCTAGTGAGGAGATGAGGAGGGAGGGTCGCCAGGAACACGCCGATCGGGACAGAGGTCAAACCGTCAATCTCGTCACTGGGCCGCGCCTCTTAGACTGCGCGCGGGCGCGGAGCATGTTCAGCAATGCGGTCAAGTGCCTCCGTGACCGTCGCGAATTCGGGTGCGATGAGGACGACGACGGCACGCAGTGTGTCATGGGGGTTCGGGTTATTAACAAGACCACGATCGAAACTTGGCCCCGTCGTGGCCGCAACCAATCAGGGCGCACCCGCCGCCCCAATTGCCGTTACAGTTTACAATATGAGATGGAAGATCTAATGATTGTGAAGTTCCTCTGCTTATGAGTCATCATACACGTGTTCAGCCTCGCGGTGTTGGCGATTGAAACATCGCTTGCAGCAAGATTATGGTTGCATGATTGCTGCATCAAGCAAGGCAAGCGAGTTCCCAACTCGACATGCTGGTAGGAGTCTAGTAATAGATCTGCCCGCTGCAAGCTATATTGCCACTTGAGTCTGTCAGCGAATACCCCATGCTGTATACTGCGATGTGGAAACCGCCACGTAAGCGCTGCACTCGGGTCGCCTCAGCTGTTCATACCACCATCTAACCCATGCCGTCACTACAGTGCTGGTCGAAGAGCTGTGGTGTCATACTGGGCCTGTCTAGTTGACGGGAAGTTGCAAGGAGGGGCGTGAGTGGGAGGAGGAGGAGGAGGAGGAGGAGGAGGAGGAGGAGGAGGAGGAGGAGGGGCATGAGTGGGAGGAGGAGGAGGAGGAGGAGGAGCATCCAAGTCAAGGGCACCGATGAAACCGACGAACGGACAACGATCGAAAGACAAGCGTCGAACGTCTGTCACCCCACGGCCGGAGCCTCGGCGGCGGCCCTCCCCCCGCCCCCAGGCAAGCAGTACAGCGTGCGGGACCTGGTGACCCTGTGCTTCGAGATGGCGCGCGGGGCGTTGCCTTGGTGTTGCCATGGCCGGCGGAGATTTTTGGAGGTGCCGGGAGGTTCTGTTAGGCTCAAGGATGCCTTGGGAGGGGCAGAACCTCGACACCGAAGAGGACGAGGATAAGGTGGACGATGACAGTAACGAGGAAGTGGAGAACGGGCTTGATGATGAGGAGAAGATTGAGGAGGAGGAGCGAGAAGGGGAGCGGGAGAGGGAGGGAGAGGTACAGAGGGGAACGGGGATTGAGAAGGTTAGGGGGGGAGCGGGGAGTGGGAGGAAGAGGAGAAGAGGAGGAGTGGAGGATAATAATATCGACGAGGAGAGCGTTGAGGACAAAGAGGACGGGGGAAGATTGAGGAGAAGGACGGAGGGTGAGGAGTGGGAAAGGAGGAGGAGGAGGAGGAGGAGAAATGCGACGACCAGATGGAGGAGGAAGAAAGCGAGGGCGAGAAGGAGGATGATGGGAGTGAGCGGGCAGGAGAGGGATGAGGAGCAGCAGCAGCAGCAGCAGCAGCAGCAGGAGCAGGACGCGCGTCGCCTGGGGGGGCGTGACCGGTGGCAGGGGCGCCGCCGCTGCAGGGCGATAGCATCCAGCGTTTTGTAGTTTTCTGTGTGTGCTTCCATCTTTCGGCGGCGAGCCCCAGGCGGGAAGTGAGAAGGGGCGGGCCTTCTCGGAAGGCTTGGAAGGCCTGAGAAGTTGCCTGAGCCTTCCCCAAAGACACAAAACAAATTCTCAGAAGGCCGAAGGGCATCTGAGAAGCCCCGCCGCCTTCTGAGAAGGCATGCCCCCCTCTGACTTCTGCCCCTGGGCGCGCCGCGGAGTATTGAGCGGGCTTCGTGTTTTGGTCTTGTCTCAGCAGGAAGCTGGAGCAGTGGCAGCAGCAGGATGAGCAGGGGGGGGATAAGAGGAGGAGGGAGGAGGGGAAGGAGGGGAGAGCGAGGAGGACAATTGCGACGCGGATGAGAAAGAGAAGGAGGAGGAGGAGGAGGTTGAGGAACGGGAGGAGCAGGAAGAGGCGGAGGGAAACAGGATGTCAAAGCAGGGGCATGGCTTCTCTTTGCTCCTCGTCGCCTCGTCCCGACCGCACCCCTTGCCCCCCCTGGCCCAAGGACTGGGTCCACTCTGAGCCCGACTGTTTGGAAGACCGCGCGGGCTCGACAGCGCATCCGTCCCCGCTCGGGCCCGAGCTCACGGCGGCTTGCAGGGCGGCAGCGGGCCGCGCCCCGCGAGCCACGCCAGCAGTGGCCCGCCGAGCGCCCGCGGAGTGGCGCCGCCGCCGCGCCTCGGCGGCGCCGCGGCGGGCAGCCCATCCCGCAGCGCCGACGGCAGCGTCGCTCACTGTGATCTTGTCGTCGCTCGGACGTGTGCATTTTTTCCTCGGTGGGGACCGTCGAGGAGCATCCTTGATCGCCTGGAGAAAAAACCGCGCACGAAACCGAGCAAAGAACACAGGGAATGGACGTCCGAGCGATGGCGAGAGGTGGAATTCGGCCTCGGCGGGCCGGCCTCGGAGGGCCGTCTCGGGGGCCTCGGCACCGACGCCCCGAGCCTCCGCGACGGAGGCCGCCGCCGGCACAGCGACCCGCGCCGGCGCTGCCGGCGGTGCGGCCACCCGCCCGAGCGAGGCGCAGTGCCGAGCGACGGGGGCGGCTCGGCGGGTGGCCGCTGCGGCAGGCGTCGAGCGGGCGACGCTGCGCGGGTGCCGAGATGGTGGCGTGCCTCTGCGGCAGGCGCACGGTCGCCTCTTCGAGGGCGCGTTTTTCGGGCCTGCCTGGCCTTCCTATGTCGGCGCATCGGCGTCGAGCAGGAGATGGGCTTCAGAATTGATTTACCCCGGGGTTGCTTTGCTCGTCGGATGCACGAGAAATGTGCGTCTGCTCGCAGTCACATGAGCATTGTCTATGTTTCTGCGTAGATTCGACGACACAGCGATTGCGGGGTAAATGAATCCTGTAGTCGATCTCCTACTCGACAGCAGCGCGGACGCCTCGCCGGCAATGTTGCGCAGAGTGTGGCAGCTGCAGCCTGGCCTGGTCAGCAGGCCGACCCTACAAGGTCGAGGGCGGGTTGGGTGCGATTCGTGTCCTCCGTCCTCTTTCGTCTCAGGAGGGGACACTAGACACCGACACTAATGAACGTCGATTCCCAGGAAAACATGGAAAGGAGACGGAAATCCCGAACACATGGAAAAACAGTGGGAATACTGTAAACTAGTTTTTTGCCTATATGTTTGTGTCTCCCTGGGCCCCGCTGTTCGTGTCTGCAGCACGGGTTGCCATCGGGAAGACGTCCGTCCTCCTGGGTGCCCTCTGCAATCGCAGTCGGCCCCGACCGTACAGGGAAAACTGCCTGGGTGGCCCGTGGGGCGGCGCGGCCAGTTGAGGCCAGTCCCGCCAGTCGTTTCAGTTTCCGGCTGCAGCCGTGGCAGCAGCAGCTCGGCTGGGGCCGGGCCAGTGAAGCGGCCTCTGGGTGTGCTCGCTGGCCCCGCAGCCACAGTGGGGTTCTATTGCGCCCCTGCATTAGGTTCTAATACGTCTGGACTTGTTCGGGGCTCCTCTGGCATGTGTACCAGCATGTGTGTAGCATCCCATAAGCACCACTTCCATCTGCCTACAGGTTCGTATATCTGCCCATCACGACATGATTCCAGTCTCTGCCGCTTACCAGGTTCCAGTCAGCCTCCGCTGATCTTCAGGCTCGCCTCCCCTGGGTGCCTCTTTCCTTGTTTAGCACATCCTACGGGGAATGATCGTTTGGGCGCTGTCTTTTCCTGCCCCAGCGGGTCCATCGATCGCGACCGCACGCGCCCCCCCGCCTTGACGCCCCTCCTTCGAGAAGTGCTTGGTGGTCACAGCGCCCACTGTCTCAGCACTGCGAAGAAACGTCGTACTGATGTCAGGAGAGGAAAAAACACACACACACACAGACACAATTAATCGTCGATTCCCAGGAAAATATGGGAAAATCTGGGAAGTGTGGGGGAAGACAAAAACCCCGAAAGTATTAGACAATATGGGGAATATGTTTATTTGTGTGCATTTATTTGTGTGTCCTGGGGCCCCTTCATGCTGGCCTTCGGCCCATCCCGGCACCGTGCTGGGTCATGGACCAGAGGCTCCATAGGGTCTCTTCGGGGAGTGTTTGCAGCCTCTTCTCAAGGGCATCAAAAACGCCCCTACCCTGGTTTACGAGGCGCTGTGCGCTGAAACTCCTGTGGGCTGACAGGGTAAACCCTGCGTGATGTGCCGCGTCCTGGCGGCTCTAGGCTTTGGGGGTTCCCAGAAAGCTTACAGACCACACACTTGTAACCCAGGGTAGGGTCGTTTTTTCATCCCTCAATATTCGGGACATTCACGGACCGTCCTCGACGCCTTTCCATCGAACGAGATTGTTGGTTGCAGCGCCGTCTATTTCGGCACTGCGTATACACATGGCGTGTTTCCGCGTCCGGGGCGCGCGAGGTGGAGAAGCCCGTCGAGTGGCGCGGCGAGGGTCTGTCCGAGGAGGGCGTGTGCAAGGCGACCGGCCAGGCCGTGAGCGCACGCGTCTCCAGAGGAAGGCAGGCAGGTGAGGCGGAGGGGAGCGCGAGGGAAGGGCAGAGAGGGGGAAACTCCGCCTCCACTTCTTCATCTCCCACTCTTATCCACACGCCATACGAATACTACTCTCATCTCTCTTCTGATCCTGCGCCAGCGTCGTGGTCCCGCCTCATTCGCGCATGGCTTCTCACACAGAATACCGTCACGCGGTAATTCACCCGTGTTTTTCATCTGAAAGTTCTCGGCCCACCTAAGGTGGTGCTCCCCGTTTTAGCGTTGGCCACATGTCAGGGCTGGTGTTCTGGTCCCGTTGGTGAGAGTGGCGATTTCGCCCCAGCGCGAGCCCCACTTCTGAATCCGATACCCTCGTCTTTGCCGTCCCCTCTTTTCCCATCCTCCACCTTGCCCTGGTCCTGCTGCTCCTCCTATTCCTCCTGCTCATGGTGCTGTTCGTCCTCCCTCCTCCTCCTCCTCCTCCTCCTTTCTCCTCCTCTTCCTCCTGCTCCTCCTGCTCGTCTGCCACCGCCTCCTCCTCCTCCTTTCTATGTGTGTGTGTGTGTTGCACATTACGCGATTGGGTCTTGGGGGGATCAAGGTCATCTAGGACACCCCTGGGAACGGACGCAGCAGCGGTGCTGGGCTAAGAGAGGAGGCGGAGGATGAGCAGGAGAAGAACCATGACTACGTACGGAGAGAGCGGAAGACGAACATCATATCCCAGAACGCATCGCTACCGCTGAGGACATCCCGCATCGCGGAGACGCGCTTATATTTCCTTCTGCGACTGATGCTGGTTTCTCAAGGGGGCTGTCTATTGAACGTTGTCAGCGAATCCGTGACAGGAGGAGGGACCAAAGGGACTGCGGAAAAACGGAGGGGATGGGCAAGTCGGATGCTTTTGGTTGACAGGTTACGAACGGAGCCGTACAGTCGCGGGCGTGCAACGGCGCCATGCCGTGAGTGGCGGCAGGTCCCAGAGGGGAGGGTCGCTGCACGGAGACTCATTAGGGGACGCACCCAGGCAACAGCTCCGGCGTGTGTTGTTGCTGCACGGTCGATTCGGGCCGCATTCCTGTCTGCGCTGCTTGGTCTCGCAAGCCTCACCCGACGGTGCGAGCCACGGGCGCTGCGGCGCCCGCGGTAGCCACCGGGGGGGGACTCCGCACCTGGCACTGGCAGGATAAAACGGGTGTGCGAGCTGCTGGCGCTACTGTGCTAGCGATACCTCTGGCAACAGATGGGCGTGCTAAGAGAGAAAGAGAGAGAGTCACCAGGCTCGTGCAGCAGCGAACGTCACTCAGAGGAAGGGGTGGAGGCGTCGAAGCAGGGAGGGCGAACCTGGACTAGGCAGGAGGCTGGCTTCGATTGCTTTAGGCCACAGTTGCTGCAAGCTGAGCCATGCATTCGTGGTCGCGTATGCAGGCCATTCCAGAAGTGGCAGCAGGACAAGCTAGGGTGGGCCGTCGCTCAGAGACTTCCGCCAGAAACTAGGCGAGAAGATTTCACAGGCAGCACGGCAGAGAGCTATCGCCGCGCTCTGCCTGCTGCATGCGCCGTGCAACCCTTGCAGCTTGAGGAGAGGGAGCACTAAGAGGAAGCGGGAGGACATCGTTGCGTTGTCGGTAGCCCCTTGCGGGATCCGAGCCTGGCGTTGGCGTGATACCAGGAGGAGGGGGAGGAGGAGGAGGAGGGGGAGGAGGAGGAGGAGGAGGAGGAGGAGGAGGAGGAGGAGGGGGAGGAGGAGGAGGGGGAGGAGGAGGAGGAGGAGGAGGGGGAGGTAGAGGAGGAGGGGGAGATTATAGCAGGCTGGTGTTAGCGACTGCAGGCGAACTCCGCTCTAGCAGTGTGACACTGCGCCAAGGGACATCCGCACCTGGCACGGCGGCTGCCGAGCGAGTGTGCGGCCACGGAGGGCAGCGCGCGCGAGTCGCCCACCAGCCCTCTGGGCGACAAGTGGTCTGAAGAGGGTCTCCCTCCTCTTCCGCGACCTCTCTTCCCTTCGGGGAGGGGGATCCCCCTCCCCTCCCTGGGTTTTCGTGGAGGTGCCCGACGTGTCAGAGGGTCCTTTTCGCGGAAAGGGCGCCGGCCTAGGGTTCTCTTTTAGTTGGTAAACCTGTCCCCGGTGCCTCAATTGAGGTGGGCCGGCGGATTCTTTACCTGATAAATATCGAGGTCGAGGTGGGCCGGCGGATCCACATTTGAGGATGTCTCAGGCGAAACGCTTATTTTTGAAATCCCGACCGATAAATCACAGGGTGCGGGCCACTCTTTCGTGTGTTGAGGATGTCTCGAGCGAAACGCTTGCTCCGCAGAGTTACCGAGGATGTCTCGAGCGAATCGCTTGTTTTGTAGAACTTGAGGGATCTGGGTGCCCCAGAGATTTGCCTTTTCCGGTGCACGAACCCGCGTGTTTTTACGTATGTGCCTGTAGATTTGCCCTCTCCAAGCGCACGAATCCATGTGTGTTTTATGTATGTGCGTCTAGATTTAATTTATCCATGGGCGCGAATCCGTATGTTTTCTCACGTATGTGCCTAGAGATTTGCCTTATGGGGCGCGATGCACATATCGCACCGTGCGCCCACGTCACTCGGTCATGAATTGGCTAGATGCTCTCTCCTTTTGACGCAGCGCGGGAAACTGGTGCTTTTGGACTCTGGGACTGGGAGACCATCACTCAGCACGACCACACCCCAGCACGACCTCACCACAGCACGACCACACCCCAGCACGACCACGCCCCAGCACGACCACGCCCCAGCACGACCACGCCCCAGCACGACCACCCCCCAGCACGACTACCCCCCCAGCACGACCACCCCCCAGCACGACCACCCCCCAGCACGACCACACCCCAGCACGACCACTCCCCAGCACGACCACACCGCCTTGGTTGAGTGGTTGCCTGTCGTCGTGGAATGTTTCGTGGGGTGTCTCGCGGACTGTTTCGCGGGGTGTCTCGTGGAACGGTTCCAGGAAAACGTTGAAAACGGTCGCCCGTGTCTCGTGGAATGTTTCGCGGGGTGTCTCGTGGAAGTGCCCGTCGCCCAATACGGTGTCGTGAAAACGTTTCCATGCATGAGGTTCTATATCCTTTTCCGGGTTCGTGGGTCTATCATGTTTCGTGTCGCGGTGCGTCCCCGTGGCACGTCACCCGGCACGTCGTTTGGCGCGTTCTTTGTAACGTTCCGTTGCGCGTCTTCTTGGCATGTTCCCTTGTCAATTAGCTTTGGGGCAGCTACTGTGTGGACTATGTGCCCAGGCAGCTCGAGCTTAAGATCCAGATCAGTTCGGTCAGGACTCGTATGCAACGGAGGACTCGATCCACAACACTATAGAGCACAATCGCGGCATGGCACATCGCAGTTCAGCACGGCGCAGCACAGCACAGTCCTCGGCACGGTACATCCAGATCGATACACTCATTCAGCATTGCAACTTGGCACGTTCCTTGGCACGTTCCGTGGCGCGCCCTGTGGCGAGTCCCCCTGGCACGTCGCGCGGCGCGTCCCCTGGCACGTCCCGTGGCACGTCCATCGGCACGTTCCGTAGCGCGTCCCGTTGGCATGTCCCGCGGTGCGTCCCCATGGCACGTCCCCTGGCACGTCGCCTGGCGCGTCTCTTGGAACGTTCCGCGGTGCGTCTTCCTGGCATGCTCCCTATGTGCCCAGGCAGCTCGAGCTTAAGATCCAGATCAGTTCGGTCAGGATTCGGATGCAAAGGAGGACTCGATCCACAACACTACAGAGCACAATCGTGGCATGGCACATCGCAGTTCAGCACGGCGCAGCACAGCACAGCCCTCGGCACGGTACATCAAGATCGATACCTTCAGCATTGCATTTGCCCATCGCCCAAGAAGGTGTCTTTGAAACGTTGCCATGTCTTACATTTCTATACTCCTTTCCGGGTTCGTGGGTCGATCATGTTTCGGCGTGCGGTTGGCTGCAACAGTCAAGTTCAGAGGAAGAGGGAGACGGGCAGGGAGACTGCAGGCCACCGTCGTGGTGGCTTCGTGCCAGCCAGAATCCAGCTTTGCCTGGAGGTGGCACGATTGCGGTTCTGCTTGCGCTGGTTGGTTTGTTGTTTCTGCTCCCCATCCACCCATCCAGGCGTTGCCAAGCCGGTTGGGAGGAGGGTTGTGAAGAAGCATCGGCCCCATGAAGGGACGAAGATCATGGGAGAGTCCATCGGGTACGCGGGGCAGAGATATACATATGTGCTCACGTACATTGCATGTGGATGTGTGTGCATACATACGTGTGACTCTCTCTCTCTATATATATATATATATATGCGCATGTTGTACAGAGAAATAAGAGAACGAGAGAGAAAGAGAGAGAGAGAGAGAGATGAAAAGAGAGAGAGAGAGACGCACACATTTCTCACATACTGGAAACCTGGGACCCCGGGGGGCCCTGGGCCGAAGAACCATCAGGGGCCCCTGATACAAGTCCCCCCATCCACCTCCCGGGGTCTCCCCGGAGCCTCCCTGGTGCTTCCCCAGCCCCCCAGAGCTTCGGATATGTTCCACGTAGGTCCCAGACGGGCCATCGTGGCGTCTGGACTTCCCCAGGCTCCCAAGACGCTCCAAGCCGGCTCCAAAAGATCCTCAAGGGGGCCCACAGGGGCAAAAATCGCTCATCCTGAAGAAAAACGTCTAGCACATTCGCTGTTTTCATGCGCGCAGCGTTTAAAAGGCCCCAGATGCCTCCAGGAGAGCTCCAACACGGCCCAAGAGGTCCCCCAGAGAGCCCCGAGACAGCCCAAGAGGGGCCCAAGACGGCCCCAGAGGCACCCAGGACCGCCCAAGACGGCCCCAAGAGGGGCCCAAGAGAGGCCCGGGGGCTGGAATGCGAACCCACATGTCGAGGCACCCGCCACAAAAGAACCCCGAAGATCGCCAGCAGGCCCCCAAGGACCCCCCCGAGAGGATTCAAGAGAACCCCAAGACGCCCCAAGGCGGCTCCAAGAGGATCCTCAAGAGGGCCCAAATAGGCAAACATCTCCCCCTTCGTTGAGTAAAACGTGCATCATCATCATCATCATCATCATCATCATCATCATCATCATCATCAGCATCAGCATCAGCATCAGCATCAGCATCAGCATCAGCATCAGCATCATAATCAGCATCATCATCATCATCATCAGAATCATCATCATCATCATCATCATCATCATCATCATCATCATCAGTATCATCAGTATCATCAGCATCATCCTCATCATCATCATCATCATCGTCATCATCATCATCATCATCATCATCATCCGCCTTGCCGCCGCCGCCGTCGTCGTCGTCATCGTCGTCATCATCATCAGTATCATCATCATCAACATCAGCTTCATCATAATCATCAGCAGCATCGCCACCATCGTCAGCGTCATCGTCATCATCAGCACCCCATAATACTCATCATACGTATCATCATCAACAACAAAAACATCATCACCAGCATCAGCACCATCACCACCATGAGTATCATCATCACTATCAGCAGCATCTTCTTCATTCTCATCATCATCATCATCTTTCATCGGCATCGGTATCGGCATCGGCATCGTCCTCAGCAGCAGCAGCATCATCATCGTTGTCGTGGTCGTCATCATCGTTATTACCCCATCATCCTCATAACCCTCATCATACGCATCATGGCTCTCCCAAGCCTGGAAACGCAGGGGTGTCACGCGTGACGGCCTCCCATGCCCCCTCGAACCGTCACCACCCTGAGTGCTGGGCTGGCACGGCGGCGGGGCTTACCGCAGGCAGCTGGATCTACAGAGCATTGCATGTGTTTTTAGTTGATTGGGCGAAAAAAACATTCTGGGGTAAATCAATCCTGTAGTCGATTTCCTACTCTGCTACCCTCCCATTTCGCCACGGCTGGATTCGCCTAACGCATCCCCGGAAGAGGTGCTTGGAGCAGCTGTATCGGTACCTCTTTGTCCCTCCAGAAGCCTTGGTTTGACGATCCCGATTCCCCCGTTCACCCTCCCTTTTGAATTTCCCTTGCATCTCCTCTTTCGCCCCCTCCCCCACATCCGCCCCTGTTCTCTTTTTCCCGGAAAGGGCGCCGGCCCAGTGTTTTCTTTTAGTTGGTAAAGTTGTCCCTGGTGCCTCAACTGAGGTGGGCCGGCGGATTCTTTCCTTAATAAATATCGAGGTCGAGGTGGGCCGGCGGATTCACATAAGAGGATTTCTCAGGCGAAACGTTTGTTTTTGAAATCCCGATCGATAAATCACAGGGTGCGGGACACTCTTTCGACAGATTTCGGCACCGTACATCAAGTTCGATACACTCAGCATTGCAACTTGGCACATTCCTTGGCACGTTCCGTGGGGCGTCCCATGACGCAGAGCACCCCTGGCACGTCGCGTGGCGCGTCCCCTGGCACATCCCGTGGCACATCCATTGGCACGTTCCGTAGCGCGTCCCCTTGGCACGTCCCGCGGTGCGACCCCATGGCACGTCCCCTGGCACGTCGCCTGGCGCATCCCTTGGGACGTTTCGCGGCGCGTCCTCCTGGCATGTTCCCCTGTCCATTAGCTCTGGGGCAGCCACTACGTGTTCAGGCAGCTCGAGCTTAAGATCCAGATCAGTTCGGTCAGGACTCGATCCACGACGCTATAGAGCACGATCGCGCCATGGCACATCGCAATTCAGCACGGTGCAGCACAGCACAGCCCTCGGCAGGGTACATCAAGATCGATACCTTCAGTATTGCATTTGCCCGTCACCCAATCAAGTGTCTTTGAAAACGCTGCTATGTGTTACAGCTCTATATTCCTTTCCGGGTTCGTGGGTCGATCATGCTTCCTTGCGCCTCTTTCCCCCATGCCCGGCCCTTCAGCTCCCTCTGTTTATCCTGTCCGATTTCTCACCGCTCCCATGCCGAGGTCAAAGTGCAGATCTCTCCGAAGTACTTCCGGCCGACGGAGGTGGACACCTTATTGGGTGACCCTACAAAGGCCAAGAAAGAGGTGCGTTGCATGCCCCCACCCCTCTTGGGCGGTGGAGGGGAGATGGCGAGGGCAAGGAGGATGAGGACCAGGATGGGAAGATGAGGAGGGACAACGGAAAAAGATGAGGGAAGGAGGGTCATGAAGAACGAGGATGAGGTTGAGGAGCGGTGAGAAGAGTTGCAGGGAGGAGGCGTTAGGGGAGTGCGGGCACGGTCGGGGAGTATAAAGGAGGAGGGTGGTTGGGGTAATTAGGGGCGGAAGGGGTCTTGTCTTTGTTCTTCATCCAGACCATAAGCGACGCACCTTCTCTGAGTGTCAGGGTGCCCTGTGCCCCATTTGGTCTGTATATACAGTTTATTATAACGTATTAAAATCGCAGAAATCGTAGGATGTATTACAACATCGTGCATTCGAAGGTAATGTGATACAGCACGACGTAGTAGAATACAGTATAAGAGAGCGTTCTCTTGTATATTACGTTTTAATTTAACATAGGTTTGCGGAATACGCTATACTATAATAGATCTGGCATTATATAGTTTCCGTATGACATAAGTATGACAAAACATGTTTCATGAAACATAGAAGGGTTTGTTAGAATACGATAGGGCAGAATGCAACATGTTAACAATTATGGTGATACATTACGATATAGCACAGTACAATGTGTTTTACGATCTCATTCTACAATACAAGTTGTTATGACGTAGTGTCTCATACTACCGTACACAGTCGGATAGTACATGATACGTGAATGAACACAGTATGACGTAATTTGATATAGTCTAGTACAGCTACGAACAACTATTGTGATACGATTCAGCACAACACAGTGTAACGTATGATAGTACAGCGCAACTGGTCATACCATATTGTATATCTGACACAGTACAGCACAATCCAACCCATCACACTATCATACAATAGTATTCTGCAGGCATGCACACATATGCATAGACTAAATACATATATATGTATATATGTGTAAACATAGATACGCCAATACATACATACGAACATACAGACATAACGGGGGACCAGGCCCGGGGGCCCAGGGGCCACGACCACTACCGCAGATGGGGTTCCGGGGCCCCCTCCAGCTCCTCGGGGGACCCATGTCCGTTCCTTCAGCGCTCAGACCGTCGTCGAGGCGGCTCAAGAGGGCCCTGTGCCGCCCCCAAGACGGCCTCCAGGAGTATCAGACTGCTAACGAGGCGTCTCGAACGGCGCCAGAAGTCCCGAAGACGCCCCAAGAGAGCTCCAAGACGACACCCAAGAGAGCCCCGAGAGGCAAACATCGTCCCATTCTGTCGGACAAGCGTGCATATCCGTAAGGGCTTCGCCCCCTGCCGCCGGCCCCCCTCCCTTAGAATGGTACTCGCCAGAGCTGTGTTGGGATGTCTGGACGCTGACGTGAAGCAATGTCGGGATTTCACGTGAGGGCCAATGTCTGGTTTATGTTTTTAGTTCTTGGTTCTTCCGGGGAGGTCACTGAGGTTCTGTGTCCACTCAGTGTCTGGGGTTTGCAGGGTTCTCTCGGGGGTCCCTTTTGTTCAGTGCTTGGACAGGGGGAAATGCTATCGATTTGGGAATGTGCGGCTTTTGGCTTATTTTATCAGTTTTGGGTTATTCCGGGGGTTCTTTGTGGTTCCCTGTCCACTCAGTGGCTGGATTCTGCAGGGTTTATGGCCTCGGGGACGCGAATCTTGTTTAAATTATTACGATTTATGGCTTCGGGGACGCGACTATTGCGTAACTTACAAAGGTTTATCGCCTCGGGGACGCACATGCGGCGTAATTTACAAGGGTTTGTCGCCTCAGGGAAGCAAGTATGGCGTAATTTAGCAGGGGTTATGGCCTCGAGGCGCGTATATGGCATAATTTACGCACGTTTATGGCATCGGGGACGCAACTGTTGCGAACTATACGAAAGTGTATGGCGTCGGGGATGCAAACATAGTTTAATTCACGAGAGCTTACGGCATCGGGGATACGAACATCGCATATTTTACGAAAGTCTATGGCCTCGGGGGCACGACTACTGCATGACTTACGAGCATGTATGGCCTCGGGCATCGTGGTTTCGGAGGCTTCGGGCCCACCGCCAGATTTCAAGAGACGGCGGGGGGTCCAAAAAGCGCCCCCCGAACACATGTCCCAGTAGAGAAATGATTGTTGTTCTGCCCTGGAGAGGGGTGCTTTTGGGCAGCCTCCGCGAGGTGAATTCGTGGCCACGTGGGCGCCAGGGTTTATGGCCTCGGTGACGCGAATATTATGTAATTTGAAAAAGTGTGTGGCCTCGGGGGCGCAACTCTTTTGTAATTTACGATGGTTGATGGCGTCGGGGACGCACATATTGTGTAATTTACTTAAGCTTATGGCGTCGGGGACGCAAGCATTGTGTAATTTATAAGAGTTTATGGTCTCGGGGACGCAAACATCGCGTAAATTCCCAGGGCTTATTATTTCGGGACGCGAAGATTGCATAATTTACGAGGGTTCATGGCGTCAGGGACGCGAATATGGCGTAATTTACTAGGGCTTATGGCTTGAATGATGCGAATATCATTTTTTTACGTGTCCCACGCCCCCCCAGGAATTCAGACAACGCGATTTGGGCGTGGTAAAAGGCTGGTTTGGGCCCCCCCCCCTCGCGCGTTCAGTAACAATTAACAGTAGGAAGCAGAAAGCACGACTAACATTGGAGACTTGAAATTGGAACTGGTGCAGGGAGCATGAAAGCCTAATCTTCGCAGCCTGATGGCCCCGCAGGGGGGCTGGCGGATTTAGCACATTCGTTGCTGGGGCCTTCGCGGCAACAAGAACGGCCCAACAGGCGCCGAGAATGCCCAAGAAGGGCCAAATTCGGCCCAAGAGGCGCCCAAGACGGCCCAAACAGGCCCCAAAGAGCCCCAAGAGTGACCCAAGATGGAGCTCGAACTTACATTTGGAGCCCTCCGACCCCAGGGTCCCCGAGGCCGCCATCCGGCCCCCAAGAGGCCCACAAGACGCCCCCAATAGGCCCACTAGAGGCTCGAAAAGGCCCCAGGACGCCCCCGGGAGAAAGACCGCCCCGAGATGGCCCCTGAGTGCCTGCAGGTGGCCAACATTGTCCCAAGACGAGCCCAAGAGCCCCCAAGATGTTTCCACGACGCTCCAAGACGGCCCCAGATAGCCCCAAGGCGGCCGTCGAGGGCGCCAAGATGGCCCGAGACCCCAAGAAGGCCCCTACTTGCCCCCAGGGACGCTCCCAAGAGGTTTCAAAGTCGCCCCCAGGAGCCCCAAATCCTTCAAAAACGTTTAGCAAGATCTCGCCTGTTCGCTGTGAGGGGCCTGCGAGGCCTCAGGGTAGCCCACGCATGGCCGTAGAGAAGCTCCAGAGGCACAAGACGGTCGACTGGGCCCCCCAATATTTTTCAAGATGGCTCCGAGACGGTCGAAGATGGCTTCGAGACAGCCTCCAGACCGCCAAGGCCGCCCCAGATGTCCCCCAGACGTCTCCAGGCAGCTCCAGATGCCCCAAGACGGCCTCAACAGGCCACCAAGAGGTTTCCGAGAGGCTTCAAGAGACCCCCCTGTCTCGGTCTCGGTCCCTCTTGTGTGTTACCGTAAGGGCTTCGCCCCATGCCGCCGGCCCCTTGTCTCGGATAATGGGAGATGCAGAAGCTAAATCATGAGGTCTGGGCGCCGCCGTGAAGCAGTGTCGGGACCTGTTTGTTTTTCGACCTTGACCCTACGGATCTGCGTGAGGGGTGCCACCGAATTTCAGACATGTGGCAAATCCCTTGTGTTTGTTGTACCCTGACCCTACGGATCCGCGTGAGCGGTGCCGCCGAGTTTCAGAAATGTGGTAAATCTTTTTGTGTGTTTTGGACCCTGACCCTGTCGATCCGCATGAGGGGTGCCACCGAATTTCAGAAATGTCGAGACTCCTCCGGGTTTTCGGACCCTGACCCCGCCAATCTGCGTGAGGGGTGCCATCGAAATTCAGAAATGTGGCAAATCCCATATGTTTTTTTTGACCCTGACCCCGCCGATCTGCGTGAGGGGTGCCACCGAATTTTAGAAATGTGGCTAATCCCATGTGTTTTTTGGAGCCTGACCCCGCCGATATGCGCGAGGGGTGCTACCGAATTTCAGAAATGTTGCAAATCCTTTGTGTTTTTGCACCCTGACCCCGCCGATTTGCGTGAGGGGTGCCGCCGAATGTCAGAAATGTAGCAAATCCCATATGTTTTTAGACCCTGACCCCGCCGATATGCGTGAGGGGTGCCAGCAAATTCCAAAAATATGGCAAATCGCATGTGTTTTTGGACCCTGACCCTGCCGATCTGCGTGAGGGGTGCCACCGGATTTCAGAAATGTAGCTAATTCTATGGGTTTTTGGACCCTGACCCCGCCGATCTGCGTGAGGGGTGTAATTTCTTACCCACCCCAGCAATTCAGGCAACACGCTCAGGGCGTGCTAAACCTGCCCGTTTGGGCCTCCCCCCCTCGCGCGGTCCATCAACAATGAACAGTAAGCAGCAAGAAGCAGAACTGTAACAGTGGAAACTGGAAGCTGCAACTGGTACAGGAAACTGCGAACCTTCGGCCTACAGCCTGGTGGCCCCCTTGTGGGGCCGGCGGATCATACGCTAGTGTATAAGACATGTAGAGCCTTAACGCGCGCGCGCGAATCGCGCGCGATATTAACAAATGGATCGATGTTTGTATCTTGATTGCCTGTCCGTCGCCGTACTAATTGATTCCCTGGCTCGACATAGGTTGGGACGGCTATATAGCGCGGTCGTTTCTCAGTTTCGAGGTCAGAGTTACCAGTGTTTGTCCGGAGGCCTCTTGGAGGCCGTTTGGGGGCCTTGTGGAGCTTCTTTTGAGTCTCTTGGGGCATCTCGGGGGCCTGCCGGCGGTCTCGGGGGCCCACTTGGGGCGGAGGGCTTGAAATCTCAATTCGAGTTCCCCCTCTGGGATTCCTCTGGGGGCCCTCTTGTGCCGTCTTGGGTACTTCCTGGGCTGTCTGGGGGCCCTCTTGGGGCGTCTCGGGCCCCTCTTGGGGCCTCTTAGGCCGTCTTGGACGCCGTGACGGCCGAAAAGTAGCATACTCTACAAGTTCATGGTATCCTTTGGAATGACATGTTTTTGTTCGTATTGGAACTCTGTTGGGAGGGCTCTTGGAGGCCTCTTGGGTCGTCTGGAGGCCATCTGGAGCATCTTCGAACGATCGCTCGGCGACTCGGGATTTTTTTCAACCGTCTGACAGGTCTCTTGGAGCCCTATTGGCCAGTCTTGGGGCACTCTGGGGCCGTCTTGGGCCCTCCAGGGGCGCTCGCAACTCAGCCCCCCCTGCTGGGCCTGAAATCAAGGCAGATCCGTTGTCCATGTGTAGAGGTATTCATTCTCTTAGTACAGCTGGACATTTAGCAGCGGAAGGAGATGGGAGTCCAGAAGCCGGGATCCCGAACCTCTACCTCGGGATCGGGGCATCGCTGGCCTCCCCCTGGCCTCTCAAGTATGGCCCCCCTTTCGTCCGACCCGACCCGCCTCCCCCCTCCTCCACGCTACTCCTTTCTCGTGCTTCGTCGCTCCTGGTCAGCCGGTGACCCGGAAAGAGGGGTGGAACCTAGCGCGAATCCATGCGGGAGGTCAGTTCCGAGGCATTGCGCAGTTTCAGGCTGTGTTGACGTGCCGAGGCCTCGGATAAGCCTTCCCCCCCTGCGCACAGTCCAAAAAGTCCTCTTGCCTCTGTTCTCCTCCGACCCATCCCCGCCTCATCCTCCTTGTCTCTCCCCGTCCTTCCCGTCGTCATTGTGTACCTACCTCATCCGCCTCCTCCACGTCCCTTTATCCTCCCCGGGGTCCCAGGCCACAAAGGCGCTCTCTGCGCTGACGTGTTGTCGCCTTCTCTTCCCTTCTCCCTGCATGGCCCCGCTGGTTCCTATTTCTGTCACGACGGGTGATCAGCAGCAGCCCCCCCTTCTTGTCTTGCACGGAGGCCCGCCAGAGTGCCGGCCTCTGGGGGCTACTGGCCAGGTCGGGTGGGAGCCGGAGTGCTCTTTCAAAGAGTTGGTGTACGAGATGATGGAGTACGATCTTAAGGGTTGCGGTCGGCGCCCCAGTGGAGAAGGAGAAGGGAGGAGGAGGAAGAGGAGGAGGATGAGAAACAGAAGAGACAACAAAGATAAGGAGGAAAACATTTGAGAGGAGGATGATGAGGGGGAGTGCGAGGAGCCGGGAGGAGGGGGGAGAGGGGGACGGAAAGGGGGAGTTGAGGAGGAGGAGGAAGAAGAAGAAGACGATAAGGATGAGGAGGGATGATGTGGGAGGAGTAGTAGGACGCAGGGGAGTTGGGGGAGAAAGACGAGGGGCAGAGGGGGGCGTAGGAGCAGGATAGGGAAAGGAGGGAAGAGGGAGAGGTGGGGAGGAGAAGGCGAGGAGTGAGTAACGGCTCAGCTGCTCAAACACCCGCAGGCACCATGGGCGATGTCGTGACACTCGAATATCAGTGCTGTGAACAAGTACGTATTCCTCCTCTCCTCCTCCTCCTCCTTCTCCTCCTCCTCCTCCTCCTCCTCCTCCTTCCGTAGCCATTTTGGCTCAAGCGTTTAGTTCGAGCATTTGTCAGATTTGTGTGTTGTGTCGCATCAGTCGCCATGTGCTCCGACTCGCAAGCAGGAAAGCCTCTCAGTTCGTTGCCCGCGCATTATCGACGTCTATTTCGCAATGTTACCACGGTTCCAAACATAATGGGCCATGTTCGAGCTTTGCTTCTGGTGGCTATGCTCTATGGCCACGTGGAAGGTCTGCCGTCTGTGGTGTTCGTGACGTACTTGCTCAATCTGTGTGTCCTGGACAATTTGGACGGTATCGTTGCAAGGCGATTGGGTCAGTGTACGTCCTTGGGTCGCGTCCTTGATATTGGATTAGACGTTTGCTCGGAGTCACTGCTGCTTGCGTGTGTGTACCAAGCGTGCACTACGTCGGTCGATGTCCCGCTATTCATGAAATGGTTTCCGCTGTGGGCATTCATTGTCATGGATCGTTGTATCTATACCGTGGGATGCTTCGCTTGTGTAGCGATCACATTCGCCGGATTCAATTGGAAGGACCTCCATTATCCATGTCCCGTTACCCGTTGGTATTACGAAACTAACATTGGTGGATATGGGTTGTATTGTTTGTACCATACTTTCATTGCTACCGTTTACGTGTTCGCATGTGGGCAACCAGGGAGCTTCATGCTTATGATAACTTGCATGCCTGGATTCATCCTACGTGTGTGGGCAAGCTACGTTGGGACGTACGAGTGCTTTCGAGTGCTCATGAGTATTGACAGAGATAACTTCTTGGCTAACAAGTAGGTGGACGCACAACCAAGGTGCCTGCTGCACTGCATGAATTAGTTTCCTAACGCAGGCGACCGTCCCGTCTGTCAGGAGTCGCTATGCTAGCGACTACGTTGCAATCAAGTGATCAGCGCTAGGCTCGACACAACACCACTAGTTTTCACCCTGTGTTGGATAGACGTGCGCCTCGCTTGCCAGCAACCGTATAATCGGCTATCAATTGACCGTTGCGTGGTGTAGCTTCGGGAGGACAGTCTCTCTGCACACCAATTGCAAGCAGCAGCGACGCAATTGTTTCCCCATATCAATCGATGCGCGTGCTGCATTGTGTTGCCCCTGCATTTGGTGGGGATTTTTCTGGCGTTGCACTCATCCCGCCCGAAAGGCGGCTTGCTTCGACGCCACAGTTTTGCGGAGCAGGGAAAGTTGAATGCGTCAAGGTCTTCCAGACAACTGGTTGTATGCAGACCTGAACGGTTCCACAATTCTACTCATTAGGCTCCGCCAGCCTTGCTACCGTGTGGATGAATGTTCGGCCTTTGGCAAGTGGCTGAGATTACAGAGGCTGCGAGTACAGAGGCAATGAGATGGGCAAGTGGCTGAATGTACAGCAGAGATGGCACTCGAGACTTTCGAGAGTTTGGGCCGTCTCTTTCTGCCACTGCCTCATACATAAGGAGTGACGCATGTAGTATGCATATACCTCCTCCTCCTCCTCCTCCTCCTCCTCGTCCTCCTCCTCCTTCCCCCTCCTCGGCCCCTTCATCCTCCTCCCCTCTGCTCCTCCTCCTGACCCCTTCTCTCATCCTCCCCCTAATCGTCCCCTTCATCCCTCCTCCTTCTCCCGCTCCTCCTCCTCCTCCTCCTGATCCCAGGAGGAGCTGTTTTCAGCACCAGCGGGGAACGCTCCGCACCAGCAGCACACGCCACAGAAGTTCGGTGCCCGCGCCCGAGCCGAGCCAGACTGGGTGGCGGTGCGCGCGGGCTGCACGCGCACGCAGGTGGTAACTGGTGATGACGCCTTGGCGAAGCGCAGGGACTCTCCGATGGTCGAAGAGGGAGAGTCGGAACGACCACACGCTCTCGGAGGTCCACGCGGACCTCCGCAAGTATATCAGAGTGAGGGGGCCGAACGGTCATTCATTGTCCTTGGGTGCGTGGCTGAAGTGAGAATCCGTTGTGAGGATTATGTTTGTTGCGTTGTTGCTGGTGGTTGGTGGTCTTGTTGTTGGTCTTGTTGTTGTTGTTGCTGTTGCTGTTGTTGTTGAACTCTCATTTCTGAAGAATACAGGCGGCCCGGATTAGTAGGTCGACCCTGCCAAATCAAGGGCACCCTTGTGTCCTGCGTCTCGCGACCCATGCCTCCTGCATCCCTGTGGCAATGTGGCCCTCGGAAGGGTCTTGTGTCCTCTCGCGTGTCCTGTCCAATCAAGTCCGATTGTAATTATTGTTGATCCCCCCCACCGGTGCATGCTGTTTGTTCTCAATCAAAGTGTGCCCCTCGACGCTCGCACCCTGTTTTTTGACAGGGAAAGTCTTGATGCTCAAACTGTGCCCCTGGCCCCCGGCTTACAACAACAACGGCTCCCGCTTCAGACTTCCTCACAATTTAGCCAGGACCCCCGCTCCCGTCCGAGACTTCCTTGCATTTGATTCAGGAGTGGCGCTTTCGCGTGGGACTTCTTTACAGTTCAAGTAGGAATCGCTCTCCTGGCGCTCTGGATTCGCGCTCTCGCTGGAGACTTGCTTGCAATTTACTGAAGAGTAGCGCCCTTGCGTTGGAATTTCTTACAATTTTCTCAAGCGCCGCGCTCCCGACACCCAGGCACCCAGGAGTCGCGCCCGTTGTGGCCCCATGTGCATGTTCGTGGCCCCGCTGTCGCCGTTTGTGGCCCCCTCAGTCTTAGGTGGCCCAGTTGCTACCCCCAGTGGCCCCATCGTTGCTTTCTGTGGCCCCGCATTATCTGCCCTTCGTGGCCCTCGCTCGTTCGCGCTCTTCGTGGCCCCATACGCATGCCCTTCGTGTCCCCGTTGTCGCCCTTCGTGGCGGCCTACTTCGTGTCCTTCGTGGCCCTACTGTATTTCTCTCTCGTTCTCGCTCGTCGTCGCCGTCGTCGTCGTCGCCGTCGCCGTCGTCGTCGTCGTCGTCGTCGTCGGTCCCCCGTCCGTCCCTCTTGGGGTCGGGTCGACGGTCCGCGGCCGCCCCGCCGATCGGCGCTGCCGCTGGCCAGGCCGACAGTCCGCGGCCGCCCCGCCGCTTGCCGGGGCCCGGCATGCAGGGAAGAAAGGTATACTTCCCAAAAGGGGTTCGATCGAAGACGAAGAGGGCGGGTATCGAGGGTCCGTTATTGAACACTCGATCAGATAAGGGCGAACAGTCTTAAAATGATTGTTGTTGTTGTTTTTGTTGTTGTTGGTGTTGTTGTCGTTGTTGTTGTCGCTGTTGTTGTTGATTACTAAACAAATATAATTGTTGAACACCTTAAAAGGCGCCCTGGCGCTCTCGCCGAGGCGCCGGCTACATCTTCATTGAAAATGAGGCTCACGCTCGAGCGGCTTGGGGGACGGCCAAAACCGGCCCCCAAACAACAACAACGCTCCCGCTCGAGACTTCCTTTTTTTTGCTCAGGGTTGGTGTTCTTGCTCGCCGCCGACAGCAGCCGTCATAACAAAACCAGCGCTCCCGCTCGAGACCTCCTCCCGTTTTACCTTGGACTGGCGCGCTAGTCTTTCTCTCATCGGCGCCGCCCCCAGCAAGAACAACGCTACCGCTCGAGGCTTCCTCCCTTTTTTACTCAAGGCGGTGCTCCTCCTCGCCGCCGAAATCTGCCACCCCGGCAAAACCAGCGCTCCCGCCGGAGACTTCCTTCCGTTTTACGCTGGACTGGCGCCGTATTCTTTTTTGAATTGGCGCCGCTCCCAGCAAGAACGACGCTACCGCTCGAGGCTTCCTCCCTTCTTCCTCGGGACGGTGCTGGTCCTCGCCGCCGACAACCCCCGTCCAGACAAAACCATGGCTCCCGCTCCATGCTTCCTCCCTTCTTACTCAAGGCGGTGTTCTTCCTCGCCGCCGAAAGCCGCCGTCCCAAGAAAACCAGCGTTCCCGCTCGAGACGTCGTTTTGTTTTACGCTGGACTAGCGCCCTACTCTCTTCAGCATTGGCGCCGCTCCCAAGAACAACAGCAGCCGTGCTCGAGACTTCTTCCCTTTTTATTTAGGCCCAGGTCCTTGCCGCACCGCCGACAGCCCCCATCCCCACCAAGGCAATCCTGTCGTTAGATACTCCCTTGTACGGGAGATCTGGGAATGGGAATAACGGACCCCGCTATAGAACAAGAGTCCCCCATTACAAGGATGGTTACCATAATGGTCGCATGCTTCGTGTTGAAACATCGCGCAGGAGGGCTTGATGATTGTTGGTGTTGTTGTTTTTGTTGTTGTTGGTGTTGTTGTTGGTGTTGTTGTTGGCGTTGGTGTTGTTGTTGTTGGTGGTGGTGGTGTTGGTGTTGGTGTTGCTGCTGTTGCTGTTGTTGATGTTGCTGCTGTTGGTGTTGATGGTGGTGTTGTTGTAGTAGTTGTTGGTGGTGTTTTTGTTGGTGTTGGTGTTGGTGTTGTTGGTGTAGTAGTTGCTGTTGTTTGTTGTCGTCGTCCCCCCCGCGACCCCCCTGTGACCCACCCCGCGACCCACCCCGCGACCCACCCCGCGACCCACCCCGCGACCCACCCTGCGACCCACCCCGCGACCCACCCGCGG